TCGTATAAAATACTTAAAAGAAATAAAAAATAAGTAAAACAAAAGGGCAATGTTTATATATTAATAACTATTTTGAAGCAAACTTCCTGAGAGTCTAAATCACATAAGTAACATTGGTAAATAAAATCATTCTTTTATCTTGAGCATAAAAAACAAATCGTGACAATTCTCTAAATTTGGAAAAAGATATTCAGAAGCATATATCTACATCAGAAGAGAAATTGTTAAGATAAACAAATAAATTTAGACTACATCATGTTAACTTCATATATTGGAACATTACACACTAATGTATATATTAAGCAAAAAAATAATTATTATATCATCAAAATTATATTATTTTCCTCAAGTACTCGAGGTTATGGAATATACCCTCTTAGGATAAAATGACTTACTTCATTGGAATAGTGGTATCTTATATTGCACTAAACTTTGAACTCACTCAACGACAATAAATTACACAAAAAAATTAAAATGCAAGAAGAAGAAGAGTAGAAGATTAGAAAAAATTGTGGTTGGAAAATGAGAGGAAGTCCCTCTATTTATAGTCAACAAAGGGTAGTAGGAACATTTTTTTTTTGTGTCTAGTCTGAAAAATCATGACCTTTTCGAGAAGTCACAACACTTTGGAAAAATCACAACTTATTGAAAATGTCACAACTCTTTGGAAAAGTCACAACTTATTGAAAAAGTCACAACTCTTTGAAAAAGTCACAACTTATTGAAAAAGTCACAACTATTTGGAAATGTCACAACTCATCGAAAAATCACAACCCTTTGAAAAAAGTCACAACTTATCGGAAAACTCACAACTCATCGCAAAAGTCACAACCTAAGTTAGGGATATTATAGTAATTTAACATTCAAGTTAGGAGTTCATGATTTTAAGGTAAAATATAGATTTTTTATATATATATATATATATATGAAAGTCGTAACGGTCTAGCTGACTAGTGATATTATTTGCTTTTGGCTTATGTCCGCACGACTTTAAAACACAACTTTAATTGGTAAGAACTGCTTACTTATAAGTTATATACCCAACATCTTTCCTAAGTTTTTATCGTTGTGAGACCTTTTGTCTTAAGCTTAGTGTCTCAAAAATGGTGTGTATATATAATTTTATCTAATGATGGATTATCGTAAGAAATATTTACTATGAACTATTTAATGAAAAATTAATAATAATTTCATAACTGAATTTTGGAATTTTATAGTGACGGGTGGAAGGAAACATAAAGAAAAAACAAAAAAAGAAATGATACCAAAAGTAAAAAAGTTATGGTCCCCTAATGTAATGTTCTTATAGTTATGAGTCATTTTGTCATATATAGAACACATAAAAAATGTGTTATAATTGTAAGTATTTTTTATATTGAGTTGTGCCTTTCAATTTATTAAGTTGCGTGTGAATTCAATATTTTCTATCAATCATGTATTTGCTCTTTAAATATCTCTGATATTTTTATAAGAAATGGACAAAATTATTTCTTTATTTTTGTATTCTTATAAGAAATTAATAAGAGGAATGTGGGTAAAAAGAACGTTTTTATATATACAGGGACTAAAATAGAGCAACCCTCAAACTTAATGGCCACCAATTGGGTAATAAATCAGATACTAGTATTTAAATTTTATGAATTATATTTGGGAGTTTTCGGTATCGATTGAAAGTGAACCTATTTTGTAAACTTTGTTAGATAATGAAAAAGGATCAAACATATCTCTATTTTATATAGAATAATTTTATCCTTCATTTGAAAAGTTTTCGACTCATAACTCTATCGTTAGTCAAATGGTCCAAATATGCAATTATTGGCTAACGACCACCAATTCCCTTTTGGAAATTTTATTCTCCTTTTCAAACAAACACAACCTAATCAACTACTATTTAATTCCTCTCTTTATTTTTATTTGTCCATCTCTTTATTTTTATTTGTCAATCCATATTCGTCGATACATCTACGAGTTAGAAGTGTTTGTTGAATTTTATTCTCGACTGTTTTAAAATACCAATCTTGCATATTGTACACATTTTTGTATTTGTTGATACATGTTGTATTTTAAATAATAAATACAGTCGAGGGCATATGTAACATCTAAAAAATTTCTAAGCTAAGGCCTGAATCATTATTTATTTACATGTAAGGTCGTATCGGGTGATTCTTAAATTGCTCATATGTGTAGAGGTCAATTCTTTAGTGTCAAAATTAATTTAGATATGAATTAAGGTGACAAGAACTCCCTAGCACAAGGTTGAGTTTCAATCTTCATTACTGATTAAGTTTTGACATAAAATTTTACTTAGGTCAAACATCAAATGATCATATCTCTCAGCACAAAATGAATTAGGTGACCCATGACCTATGCAATTGAAGGTCTATGAGTCCTATTTGCAATGTCATCAAGTTTGCCTCATTTCGAGTTCAGAGTAAAAAGTTATGACTGTTTTACCAGAAACTATCACATCAGAGTTTCCTGAAGTCAATTCCTACGAGTTGCTTCTATGGTCCGTAGAATAAACCACGAATCGTAAATGGACCGGTAGAAGGTTTTCACCAACTTTCAAGAGGGATATTTTAGTCTTTTCTCACCCCATCTAAGCCTAAAGTACGATGTTTTTAAACCTTGTAAAGGGTTTAAACAATGTTAGTCAATTATTTTACGTTCATTAACGTCTCCAAGTCTTAGAGAAAGGATCCAAGAGGAGAAGGCTAGGGTTTTCAAGCGTTCTTTCAACTGTTTCGCCAAGAACTTTGTTCTTCCATGTATGTAATTAGGTTATCATAGTGATGGACTGATTTCGTCCTCATGCCCTATATCTATCTATAAAATGTTTTTACTCACGAGTCATTTTGTCAGTACATAGAGCACACAAAAAAATTGGTTTATAATTATTGGTACTTGATATTGATATACTGTTCCTAATTATTATGCCTTCCAACCATGCATGCATTTACGTACTGTACTCTTTATGTTACTCCCTTTGTTTCTATTTATATGTCATCATTTTAAATTTTACGTTCCTTAAGAAACTAGGCAAGCTTACTATTGTATCCTTATTTAGTACTCCCTCCATTCCATATTAATTAAATTTTTGAGGCATTTTACATTTTTCAAATTAACTTGTTCAGTTTTCAAGACTACTTTCAAAGTGTTCTTCCAATTTTTACCCTTCATTTGGATTTTCAATGTGATGACTTCAATAAATTTGACAATAATTAATAAGGGTAAAAATGGAAAACTATGTTCAATTTATGTCTTAATCTACTTTTCTTAAAGGGTGTGAAACACCTCAAAAAATTAATTAATATGGAATGGAGGGAGTATGCTTTTGAAGTCTAGTTTTCAATAAATGAACATAAATTAATTTATTTTAATTAATAATTGACCAATGAACATAAAATAATCATTAATTAGTTTTCCTATGTTGGTCAAATTCATACTTTCAAGACTAATAACTCTCAAGGGTATCGAAAAAAATAGTGTTATTTATGTATTGATTTTGTAAGATGACAAGTATTCAAGAACATGTGTTTTTAGTAAGGACGACAAATAAATAGGAAGAAAGAGAGTATAATTTTCACTCATCGAGAATCAATTGTATTATTTTCTTTGCTCCAAAATAAGTTCTATTTAAGTAAAAATCACATTTATTAACTTATTAATAAATACAATATGTAATTTACTACTCCGGCCTCTAGCCTTTTTCAATGTTCAAAAAGTATTGTATAATGCGATTCTTCTGATGTCAATATAAAATATTCTTTAAAATGTAAATTAAAGTTCACGTAATTTGAATCTCGAATAACTAAAATATCACTTGAGACGGAAAATGTTTTGATGTATTACATGACTACCTGAGTGTATATAGATTTATTAATCTATGAAAGTTGTAACGACCCAGCTCGCTAGGGATGTTGTCTACTTTGGGCCTAGGCCCGCACGGTTTAAAACGTACATCTAGTTGGTAAAGTCTGCTTACTTATATACCCAACATCTCTCCTGTGTTTTTGTCGATGTGGGACTTCTTGTCTTAAACTGAGGTGTCACATACACCCCCTCTATGGACTCAACGCCCTCGCTGAGGTTTGCCCCATCGTATGAGATTTGCCTATACTCAGTACTGAGGTTTGCTCTGCCTTATCGGGATTTGCCTAAAGTTAGTTGAACTCTAATCCACATCGACAATGCTGATACATGAGTGACCCTTATACCATTTTGTAACTGTCTATGCATTTACTCTTTAGATATCTCTGATATTTTATTAAGTAATTGACAAAATTGTTTCTTCTTTTTTATTTTTATAAGAAATTATAATAATAAGAATTTGGTTGAAAAAAACTTTTTTTTTATGTATACGAGGAGTAAAATAAAGCAACCCTCAAACTTAATGATTATTTGGGTAAAAAAAACATCATAGTATTTAGATTTTATGAATTATATTTGGGATTTTTCAGTTCCGATGAAAAGTGAACTTATTTTGTAAACTTTGTAAAGAAATGAAAAAATGATCAAATATATCTCTATTTTATGTGAGTAATTTTATCCTTTAATTTCAAAATTTTATTCTCCTTCTTGAAAAAACACAGCCAACTCATATCAATTTTTTTTTGGATTTTTTCACTTGGTGTTTGTATTCGCATTGGAGCTCGATTAATTCGAATTTGCACTGGATAAGGCCACATTCGAGGGTTAGCGCTTCCTACCAAGGATTTTTCCATACCCAAGACTCATTTAAATATTAAATATGAGATTGATATAATTATTTACTTAATAATTATATTCTTAACCCACTTCGCCATAATTTATTTATTTTTTAAGTCAAACACATTACCATACATTTCGTGGATGGATGATATAACAGGTACCCGCTATAATATATCACGTTTAGCTATATATGATCATCTCATTTATAAACTTTAACGATTCATCAATCCATAACAAGAAAATCAAAATTGGAAATTAGACTACAACATAAAAGAAAATTAGGGTAGATATAAAATCACAAAAAAAATAAGGAACATTAGTTTTATTTATCTTGAAATAGTAAAGTACATGAAGACACTATATTTAGTATCTCCACTTTATTTATTTTTCATAACATAATGACATAATGTTCCCATAGAATAATTAATTAACCCATTATGGGAGTAATTTTAACAATGGCCTCCCAGTCAACAACCAGAAAAACTCTACCACAAACATAATTAGATGGCCTAAGCATACCAGGAAATAAAACACTAATATCATGAGCTATGGGATTTTCCTTCTCAATTATTTTCTTAGCATATTCTGCTGGCTTCCCAACAAGTTCAGGCCATGATTGCTTACCTAAAATAATTACAAATATATATAAATATAATGACATAGTAATAAAAAAAGTAAAATATTATAATGGACATCATCATATCAGTCATTATTTCTTAAGGAGCGTGCAAAATCCAAAGAAGAGAAGTACAAGTGAAGTGAATAGAGAGAGTATAATATAACTCGAATCACCTTACTCTTTAGTCTTTTCACTACTTATCAATTTAGAAAAATGTAAATTTAATTTTTAGGAATAAGTTTTTTTACTATGTTAGTAAGGTAAATATTTTTTTGTTAGAAATTATAATTATGTGATATTAGTGGAAAAAATCATAATTATGTGACCATTTGTGAAATTTACCTGTTTTTGAAACTATAAGAAGAAGAAATTAAAAAGTATAAGAGCAAATTACCTGGGCACAATACATCTTGGATTTCATTTTCCAGAATTTGCAGTACTTCTATGCCATCACTCAAATCTCTTGCCATCAGTGATTGAAAAACTGTAATTAAAATAAATAATTCACTTACTTACTAATTTGAGAGATAAAAAAATTATATATACACGAGCATTGACAGAGTTAGTAGTTTTACTAAGAGGGTTCAAAATCCTGTTAGGGAGGCTTGCCGGGTTATATAAGCCTTACTAATTAGTATAAATTTGAATTAGTCGGACCAAAAGAGAATTAAGGGGCTAATTACATACGTGATGCAAGAAGCAAGAAAGCAAGCACATGAGATAACTTGAGCATACTCTTTCCCTCCATTTTGCTTTTATTTTATTTTCTTTCAAATAATTGTGAGATGTGTAAGACTCATTGGTTACACATGGATATTTATAGGGAGTTATTAAGGGGTCGGGTCAATTTTATAATAAATGTTATGGTAGGTATTGAGCAACTCAATCATCAATAATTAATGGTATATTTTCAAAATATTTAATTAAAAATATTGAAAAGTATTTTTTATCTAGTAAAAACTGGGGAAATTTCAGAAAATGACATGACACGTTTTAAAAAAGATTTACTAGCAAAAGTAGAGATGTTATGGTCCCTAGCTATGAAATGTTTTTATTGATGAAATTTTGTCTAATGAATTCAAGTAATAATACATGAGTCCCAAATTCAAATTTAAACATATATATATATATATATATTTTTTTTTTTTTTTTAATGAATTTCAAAACAAAATAAAATTTATGATAAATCTATTGAATTTGATTTTGGGTTAAACATTAAAAAATCGGATAAATTATTGTGATGAAGCCATATGTACATTCGTTAGTTTTATGAGTATACATAATACACTAAATTTAAAAAATTAACAGTTAGAGTATATACAATCTTAAAGTATAACAACAAAATTAAATATATCTCTATTTCATATTGAACAATTTATTCTTCATTTGAAAAGTTTTCGACTCATAACTCAATTGTTAGTCAAATGGTCCGAATATGCAATTATTGGCTAACGATTCCAATAACCTTTTGGAAATTTTATTCTCCTTTTTGAAAAAACACAGAAAAATCAACCTATTTAATTTCTCTATTTATTTTTATTTGTTCATCCACATTCTTTGATACATTGGAAGAATTTTTGAATGATAAATACATCGATGACAATGATTTTCTCATCATTGTGTCCATTGATTCATGTTTTGACAATTTGAAGATAAGGGACAAAATGATTTTTTTGTTTAAAGCCACTAATTAAGATAAAATTATTGTTTTAATTTTAAAATTTACACATGGAATATGAAGGGGGACAGTGAAAATTAAATTCACACGTAATATGCAGGGGACACTCACTGATATCACTATTTTGTAAATTATGAATTTTACAAGAATGAAACGGAAGATTTTATTTTATAGTCGTTAACAAATATTTTATAGTTATATGATTTTTTTTAATGGGAGACTATTATAGAAGATCTGAATTATGCTTAATGAATAAATAGAACTGTAAAGGTTGGAGCATCATGCCGAGTTTTTATTTTTTTCTTTTAAAAGGGGAATAATTTTATTTCAATAAACTTTTGGATTTAAATAAAGTAAAAGCCATTTAAAGTAGTTCAAAATTGTAGTGAGGTACTACATACTAGTGATGTCTAACAACCACACGTTCGAACAATTTGAAGATAAGGAAATAATTAGTATTATGTTTTGAGGAGGACAGTGAAAATTGAAATCACGTGTAGTTTCAAAGAAAGTAAAGTCTCGAAGAGAGAAGTACATAACGATTGATTTTTGAATTCACATTAACCCAATACTTTAAGGATGTATCTGTCACACCCCAAATTCGGATGTGATGGCACGTGTCCATTTCCCACCGGACACGTCAGCCTAACCCAACCACAACGATAGAGAAGTAGAAATACGAGAATAAAAGTTAATAAATAAGCGGAAGACTTTAATTAAGACTCAACACTACCCAGAATTTGGTTGTCACATGTACAAACCTCTAAAAACAGAATTCGAATAAAAATATACAAGTCTCAGAGTATAGTTCTCGAATAGAACAAAACTGAAAGTAAAGATAACTCAAGGGCACGTCTGAAATAAACCGCTACCTCTCGAGTATGTCCCGAAGCTCAATTTGCTAAAGAAAATACTAAGCCGAATCTGAGAGAGTTGTCAACCTACACAATTGTGTAGAAGCAAGGGTGAGTACCGAAAAACCACAGGTACTCGCAAGTAACTCTAAACTAAGCAAAACTAGCAGCTACAAACAACTCCTTTCAAACCCAACCGAACCACCGAAACTTCAATCTAGCGCAAACCAACCAACCTATACTAAACAGATCATATTCAACAGCTAGAACCAACAGTATATCCTCATCAACCTCAGATCAACAAATAAGAGCAAGTAGATCAAATTCCACATAGGAAGGGTAAACCGATACAATCCACACATCACAGACAAAGATAAGGCAAATGCGATGCAAAATGCAATAATGATGTCATGTAGTCGTGATGCATGTCTGTCCTACGATACACATCTGTTGACGTAATCAGTCCGCGCTGAATACTCAAATCAGAACCCATGAGGGCTACACATAGACCATGTATCACCGCTGGAACCAGATCCCATCGGCATCCAAATTGCTAGCCGGAGCTAGTCCATCTCATATATCTCTAGCCGGAGCTAGTCTCAACTGTGTCTCATATCCATCCTCATATCAGTGTCTTAGAACTCATGCAACAGATAGTTCACACATGAGATGAATAATGAATATGCACATGTCATCAATCACAATCATATCACGATCACATCATAGTATTACACATCATCTGTCTCAATCACAACCATATCACGACCACATCATAGTATTACACATCACCTGTCTCAATCACAACCATATCATGACCACATCATAGCATTACACATCACCTGTCTCAATCACAACCATATCACGGCCACATCATAGTATTACACATCACTTGTCTCAATCACAACCATATCATGACCACATCATAGCATTACACATCACCTGTCTCAATCACAATGTTTGTATCAATCATAGCCTACTCATGCTCTTCTATCCCCTCAATATCAGTTATCACATGACTTATTCAACAAATTCAAGTCACATATAACACATTTAGCTCGTTTTATTCCCCATCTTTCATTTACAACAAGCCTACTCATGCTCTTCTATCCCCTCAATATCAGTTATCACATGACTTATTCAACAAATTCAAGTAACATATAACACATTTAACTCGTTTTATTCCCCATCTTTCATTTACAACAATTTCAATCAACAAATAAAACCTATCCTCAATCCCCATTACTCCCCAACACAATTAGGAAAGTAGTCATGCGTAGTCTAAGAGTTTTACAAAGTTTGGAAGCCACTTGCCTTAAAACGAACTCCAAAAGTTACTTGACTTGAGCCTTTCCTTTCCGAGTATAATCCGGATCACGATAATCTATTCAAACAATTAATCACAATCACAATTCGAGTCCAATGACACCAAAATCAAGAAATTTAGGGAAAAAGGGCAAAACGGTCCAAAAGTCTCATACCGGAAAACGGTATCCAAATCTGGAAATTTTTGATGTAAAATGATCCTTAAAGTATTTGGAAGCTAATGGTGAAAACCAATTTGAAAACGGAGTTGAAATCAATTCACAAACTCAATTTGAAGGAAAATCCACGTTCTTGAAGAAGCCTAAAATATTCGGATTCGAAACCCCAACTCGAAAATGAAATATCTCTGGAAAAAATATCTTACCCATGCTTAGATAAGTTCAAATATGAAATTTCATCAAAAACGGAGTTAAGATCGACCTTGAAATTCTCGATTTATCAAACTTTAACTTTACCGGGAAAGTCCAAATTGTACGCGGTTAATATGATGAAAATAATCGATGAATCACTAATTTTATGTTAAAATCAGTTTACCCATAACATAAGGATCGTAAATATACCTTTTTCATCAAAAAGGGAGTCCAAATCAATAAAACCCCAGTTTTTCCCGAGAGATTTACGGATAGGGAAAAAAGAAAAAAAACCAGATAAATAAATTATGAGAAAATGTCGAATTGAAGATTGAATACTAACCCTCATATTAATTCAAGAAGAAACCCGTAAGAATCACTCCATTCTGATCTCTAGAACTCCTGATATGCTCAAAATACCAAATGAACACAGTTTGAGATTTTTATAACAATACATGACTGTTATGCACCAGAAAAACAGCAGTTAATCTTTCACTAAAAAGGCCATAATTTCCTCATACGATAGTGAAATGACCCGATTCTTTTTGTAAATGTCTTAAATAATGATACGGACCTGCTCATTCAATCGGAGGTCAATTTCATGCTCGTTTGCCCAGTCAAATATCATTTCTACTCGGTAAACAATTATTTCTTATTTGCGATAAAAGTCCAATCTCGGGTTAGCGAAAATGCACCAAAATTTGCAGATAAGTCCTATAATTCATGTTCAAAGTTTCAAAACCTTCGGAATAATTTTTCGACCTTTAAAACTAGTAATGAACCCTTTAGTTGCCACAATTTGCTGAAATAATGTCAAAGCATCCAAGAATCTTAAAAGCTCACCCAAAACTCATTTGGCACTTCCCGAACACAAACCAAATATGCTACTAGCTTGAAAATGACATTTCGGACTCAATGAAATCGTCGGAATTTGAATTCGAGGTCTCCTTGACCCGGTATCCGATAAGGCGTCAAGAAACTAACTTTAGGCTCAAAAATTCGAAATGCACTCGGGGCCTCTAAAAATTCAACCAAGACTCATTCTAGACTTAGAATCACCCCCTGAATCCAAAGGTGCCCTCGGAATTCCATTTCGAGCACCGGAACCTCGTTTGTTGACCAAAGTCAACTCTTGATCAAAATTTCACAATTTTAGCAACTTAGGACCTCAAATCTTCGTTTTAACTCCAAATTCGACTCCGTAAATTCTCATAGACCCGTTTCGACATTCTAAAACTGCTGGAATCGACGGAAATCCGATTCGAGTCTCGAAACTCCAAATGACTCGAAATAACACTTTTAACCAAACTTTAACTCTTAAAAACTCAACTTTCCAAAAACTCAACTTTTCATCAATTTTCCTCCAAACCAACTTCAAAAATACAACAATTAGGACTCGGGGCAACTATCGGGAGGGGTAAAACGGTCATTTTATGAAAATTTCCAAAAATGACCTTTAGGGTCATTACAGCATCTTATCTGAATATAGAACAATAAAAATGAACAAATACAGATTGGCAAAATAACAAGAAGAAAAAAAGAAATAGAGAAGTAGTACTAGTTCTCAAATCGTGATCGATTA